GGGGGGGGGAGAAGAGTTAACTGGGGAGGAGGATAGAGAAAATAGTGCAACAATGAATGAATGAAAACCCAAAATCTCTGTAAATGTTCATTAAAATTAATAAAATGGAATACTTTTTTTTAAAAAAGCAACATGTATATGAGAGCTTTAAAAAGTCATAAGTATGCCCAGAGTAAGATGCATGCTTGGAAATTATCAGAGAAGATTCTCTGCTTTATTTACCTCAGACTGATCACTAACCTAAATTAAATATATAAATGTAAATATAAGCTAAATTAAATATGTAATTAACTGATGATAGAGAAGCTCTTGTACAGAGTGAATTGGGAAAGACTTGGAGAGGTTAAAATACTAGTTGAACATATACTGTCTTTAACTGGTGATACTATAAGATATAAACCACACGTGGATAGCTTTTGTAGAGAAATGTATTCTCTTTAGGATTTTTAGAAATGTATTATTCCACATTTCAGAATTTTAGTTTAGAAGTTCAGAAATCCAAATTTAGGGACCAGCACAGGAAAACATTCTATCCTTCTGACTTCTAGATTTGTCAACTTTTATTTTTTTTTAGAGCAAGGCATAGAAAGAAATAGTAAAGATGACTCAGAAAAAAAAAACACAAGTAAAGAGGCAGAAAGTATTATGGGACAGTACAGAAAGTGTGCTTATAATAAAAAACTTAAAGACTATCTTAAAGACTTTATTTAAAAAAAACCCTTTATCACAAAAACAGTATTAAATAAGGCCAAAGAGCTAAAGAAAAACTCAAAAACTAAAGGTTTTTAAGAAAATAACAAAGGGAATACAGTAAATAGTTCATTAGTGAGGGAGGTTAAGCAAATAAAGCTGGAGCTAAAGAGTTTGATAACTGAAAATCCAAATCTGTTAGAGATCAGAACAACAGTACACAGCGATAACAGGTTTTATCTTGCCAAGGAAATAATGAGTAAACTTTAAAAGGTAAGTTGACTGTAATTAACAAGTCAGAGTACTAAAATGAAGGCAGAATGTTGAAAGGTGAACAGAGTACAAAGAACTTGCAGTAGACAACCAACACAGGCATTATAAGAGTTCTGGAAGAGAGACAAAGAAGCAGAAAAGATATTTTTAAGAAAAATATTATAAAACTTACCAAACTTTACTAAAGATAAAAACCTAGATATTGAAGATACTCAATGAACTCTAAGATAATCTAAAAGCTACCCATATCAAAACTAACAATCAAACTTTTAATTAAAGGATAGAGGGAATTTTGAAAGTAGCGAGAGAAGTAAAGTATCCCATATTTGGATATATCTATAAGATTAAACAATGATTTCTTGTCAGAAGTCATGGAAATAGGAAGGCAGTAGGATTATGCATTTAATGTGCTTAAAGAAAAGAGCTGTCAATGAGATTGAAATGACAGCATTCCCAGAGAAACAAAAGATTTGCAACTTTCTTTTCAAAAGACAGAGGTAGCTCTGGTAGATTAGTCTATGGAGTTGTGCTGTCAGTTTAAAAGAAGTCAGTTCAAATTGACCAGCTGCTCAATGTAGAAAAGATTGAAAATCTTCCTCCCATGCAATTTACTGCTGCCAAAAACCTGCTGGAGGGACAGTTTGTGAATCTGTTCAGCCTTGCTGGTACATAAGAACAGTATCTTGAGAATGTGAGTAAGAGGGGAAAGACAGAACTAGCCTAGTACATAGTGGATTACACTGCGAAATCCACCAGTTTATCTGTTGAAGAATGATGGAGAATCACTTTTCATTCAGTTTACAACTTCTGAAATGCCAATGGAGAATCAGGTATGGATTAGACACAAAGTGTGCATAATGAAGGGAGCTCTGATGACCTGGTAATAAACTGTACTGCTATCCCAAAGGTACCGGTTCAAATCAACTACTGGTTCCATGAGAGAAGGATGGCCAATCACCTCCTGTGATATTAACTCCCTCTGAAGAATCAGCTATGGCTTCGTTCCAACTTGATGGTACACATCTACCCCATTACCCAAGTCACTGAATCAATCCATTGCATTGGGGTTCTTCCCCTCCTGCACTGTCTCTCCACCCTGCCAAGCATGTGACAACCCTCTCCAAGGACTGATCTCGCCTTGCAACATGCCCAAAGTATGTCAGACAAAGCTTCAGAATCTTTGCCTTCAAGGAGCAGCCTGGTCTTACACTCTCTAGCACAAACCAGTTTGTTCTCCTAATAATCTATGGTACACTCATTATTGTTCTCCAGCATTACAGCTTAAAGGCATGAATTCTTCTACTATCATCCCTAGATATTGTCCAACTTTCTGATGCATAGTAAGTAATTACAAAGACTGTGACCTGTATCAGACTCACCTTTAGTCTCCAGAGTGACAACATTGCTCTTCAGTACTTTGGAAAGGTCTCTGACAGCAGACTTTCCCAATGCAATTCATCTTTTAATTTCCTAGTTGCTTGTACCAAGAGTGTTAATTGTGGAGCCAAGCAAACAAAAGCTGTTAACAATCTCAATCGTATCACCATCTATCATTATGCTACCAGTCGGCCCAGTGGTGAGAATCTTTGTTTTCTTGATATTGAACCTCAATCCATATTGAAGGCTGCAGTCTTGATCTTTTGCAGCAAGTGCTTCAGGTCTTCCTCAGTTTGAGCAAGCAGGGTTGTGTCATCTACATAGTGCAGATTGTTGATGAGTCTTCCTCCCATCCTAATGCCACATTTCTCCTCATAGAACCCTGCCTCCTGGATAATCTGTTCTGCATATAGATCTTCCCCCCTTTCTGCTCCCTGTTGTTTCTGTCTCTCCCACTCCACTTTTTGTCATTTTGTATTTGTGTGTATGT